ACACACACACACACACACACATACACATACACACATATAAATAGTCTTCCAATTTATATTTCTATTTTTGTGCTCATTCTTGATTTTACATTTTTATTTTAATTACTTTTATTATTTTAGTAAAATCACTAATACAGGATGCCCACACTGATAGTTGCGAAAACTGTTTACCTCCTTTTTTTCAAAAATTTCAAGCAAATGAACATTTCAGGTATTCGATAATTTATCAGTGTGTCCTTGAGAAAGTTCATCTGCCGTATTACATTACACCTAACCGATCATGCACGCACTTCTGATACCATCGTCAATTTCACAACTGAAATCGGGTCATGGGTCATGAAACGGAGCAGCACAGCGATATCGTGTCTCCGACGTGTCAATAATTTAACAGTTTAATTTCAAAAGTACAAGTGAGCTAGAACACAGGGGAGATTTTTCTGTATTTTTCTGAAAATTTCCCCATTCTCTTCCACTTTCGGCTTCTTTCTTTCACGTAATTTCATAGAACCGTTCGAGCGAATTGTCTTCCCCGTATTGAGGACATTCCTTGCGTTCTATTAGCACTGCGTGAGTGCGTGACACGAATATCACATATCACGCAATTCATCTTCCTGACGTGTACTATCCTTAGTAATGTTACCGTCAGCACACGTTTTCGAGCTTTACTGATTCCTAAAAATCGCGAAATCGCCACTGCTTTGAATTTTGAATAGTAGAGTAGAAAGATTTGACTTAGGTGTCATGTACAAAAAGACATTTTATGATGCAGTCTATGTTTCATCCCTTAGAAATCATTGTCACGGCATCAAAATATGGATGTGTAATAATTGTGATTATGCGAAACTTCGTCCGATGGCTTGCTGGTGTTTTCTTTCAAAAAGTAAAAAATTATCGAATTTTGCAGAGTTCGAAAAAAAATGGCGGATGTAGAGCTGGAAACACGCAATTTTTTGCGTGAACTTGACAGTTTTGGACAGCCTCCGCCACCCCAACGGATCATCAGCGACGCCGACAGTCGCACAATTAGCAAGGATTTCGAACTGAAACTGCACAATATCAATTTGGACAAGCAAAGGGTGATCTTCAGCAGATGATTGTTGTTGCTATATCACTGGTTTCTGTTTCAAAAGGAACCCGAGCTGTCTAGTGCCAATTTATCACCGTAAAGAATTATTGAACTGCAGAGAGATTGGTTATCTCATCAGCAACCTTGTCCCAACGGCTTAAATCTTTGAAAAAAAAAACATGAATTTTATTGGCGGTTATTTTTAAAACTTTCGAAAATCTGTTCATTTTCGCATTTTTTTGGAACTTGTTGGGTCAAATTTTGTGCTATTCATCATTTTAACTTAAATTCGATCCGATGGCTTTGATACTACTTCGTTTCAAGAACAAATCTGCCACTTTCTTTGAGGAAACGTAATTTATTAAAGTTTTTGAGTTCCAAAAGGAAGGAAAATTGAACTTCTGTTTAATTTTGAACTGAGCCCCTAATCATTTTGACTAAGCAGCACTTTAAAAAAAAAGAATTCTTGATCTAATTTGAACAAGCATTTTTCAAGGACCATTTTAAAAATTCAATAGTTTTTTTCAGCATGTCCGAAATGGAACATCAAATTTAAGACCCGGCTCGATGTTTACAAGTAATGGGAGCACTAATAAAACTGGCTGTGTGTCAAGAAAAAATGGAACAGCCACTGAAATTAGCAAAGATGAAATAAGAAAACTCAAAGATCAGGTTAAAGCTCATATTTCAAGTGTTTCGCAATTTAAGTGAACAAAAAACTTACTTTATCTGAAATCTTCAAGTCTAATAAAGCCAACGCTAGCACTGGCAGCATCAGGATTACCGGTACCACTGGTACGGTTGTTGTCATAGGCATTAACAGGCTCTGTATTTTGCCTGCATTTTTTCAGATCGCAATTCCCTTTTCCCCTTCACTTGCTTTCTCGCCGTCTCGTTTCTTCCCGAAATTTGTCAAAATCTCCTGTTTTTAAAAGAAATGAGTGATTCTAAAATTGAGTTAAAAAATCCCTTCGTATTTGTTCTGTAAGAGAGGACGAATCCACTCAAAAGTGTTCCGAAATGTCAAATATCAAGAGCAGCACTCGTTGGCGAAGTTAACGAAATCACTCTCACCTGGGGTTGCTTAGATAAAAGCCGGTGCCGGGCTGACTTCCTGGCTACCATCGAAACGAATGAACGAATCGTGGAAAAATTGTTTATCTCAGTGACGGAGCAGCAGCAGCACTTCTTATTGTGTTGTACCTGCTACTGGAATACAAAAGAAAACAAATAATGCATAAAATGAAAAAATAAAAAGACCAGCTTCCAGTCTTGCAAATTAAATTTCAGGTTGTATCAGCAACTCGACCACTAAATCCATGGTACGAGCACCAGCATCAATCTCCGACCATTTCTTCAAACTATGCTCGAAAAACAGCTCAAAAGAACGTTTCTTCTGACCGGCACGCTTCACCAATCGCTGCAGCACCAGTACAATATCTCCCCATCAATGTTGCCACTGTATCGGGTGAAAACACCGTATTCAGCGTGAATAATGCGAAAAAATTAAACTATGCCGAGAATGCTTCATCGATAAGTCCAGCCAGTGCATCCAGCAATGCAGAAACATCACATTCATCACTGTCAACTACTGGATCCAGCATTGTACGTTTTTATGCATTTTGTGCTGCAAAACGCGTACTGTCGAAGCCGT